TTTTTTTTTTTTTTTTTTTTTTTTTTTTTTTTGAAATATATATTCTATCTCTATTAGTTTTCAGCTGACCACAATGATGCAGAAGTTTTAATTCAAGAAACATGCAAAATGTCGTTGTCAGAAAGAATTCTTAGCGGTTTTAAGTTGTAAGTGTTCTCTCCTTTTTTTTATCTTATTATAAAACAGTAAAGTTAATTTTGAACAACAAAATAAAGAAATATATTGGATAAAGGAAAAGAAATAAAAAAAAAAGAAAGATAAGAAATGTTTTTTTTTGCACATAAAAAGATTTAAAGTTTTTTTCTTATTGACAAAATAAACTTCAATTTGTCATTCTTGTGCTTTTCATTTTCTTTTTACCTTTCTATAGTTTTGGTAGTGTTTTTGTGTTGATAGTTTTTCTAAATTTTGTGTTTACTATAGTTTGAATGAGAATTATTTAAGCTGGTAGAGGAGGGGGGGTGGTGGTGTGGAAAAAAAAACTTTTTATTGTTGTTATTGGTGTTGGTTATTTTATATACCACTTAAAGTTTAGTGGTAATGGTAATTTGAGAAAAGTTTTGCTAGTTAGCCAAAATGAACTATTTAGCTTAAACTATTAAATGTAAAATTTGAGAACTTAATGACTGTTTGACATTTTAGATGATGGATACAAAAGTAAGTTTAATGAATTTTCATGTAAGATGAAATTGAAACTATGTGCTCAAAATATATTGGTTATATTAGTTAAATTTAATCAACAACAGTAAACGGACTAACATTTTTTCTACCAGACTTCTTTACATCGTTTATCTTTTTATTGCTATCGTCTAACTCTAATCCATTGACGCAGGAATTGGATGTGCATTCGAGATGCCGATTCTGGTGAACTGTTATGGCAAAGCACAGATGATCTAGCAGATTCTAGCAAAGAACATGAAGGTAGCGTTACCTAAAGAGTTTTTTTTTCGACAAGATTCTGGTGGATAAATGAAGAATAAAAAAAAGTTGGAAATATTGCTGCTGAATGTTGATGTATAAAGATAACTTTTTCTTCTATAAGAATTAACATTTTTTTAAAAATTTCTTTGTGTAGAACAAAAACAATCGTTTTCTTGTTACAAGTTTATGGACATTAAAAAATAAGCAAAAAAAAAGGAAAAAAAAAAGAAACAATTATGAGATAGTTTAGCTCGGGTACCAAAAAAGATTCTCAAATGTCGAGCGATTTCCAAAGAGATAAATTTCACGTCTCAGGAGCAAATAGAAAATTTTCGTTTGGAACAACGGATTTACCTGAAAGGAAGCATACTTGAAGGTGAGAGATTGTTTGAATTTTGTTGTTTTAGTGTTTCCATGAATTCTTTTATTTGTACTATCGTTATATACATTTCTTCAAGTCGAAATATTATTTGCTATGTTTACTAAGCGTCTTAGGGGCAGTATGGCATTGCAAAAAAACTTTTTGAACGTTGTTCAGTTTTTGTTTTTACTGAAATTATACTTTATAGGTTTGATTTGATTAGAATATCTCAAGATAAGTTTAAGAAAGATTACATTTTGACAAACATTTTTTGGCTTATATAAATAAATGAGGGTTTTTGGTTTTTTTTCTCGAACTTTTGAAAAAAAAAAAAAAAACAGAGCAAATTTTGCCGTCTTCAAAACCTTAAAAAAGAAAAGTTTTAAGAAAAGTAGTTGTCAGCAGGTTTAGTTTCTGAACAGTCTATGGATCTATATCAGAAGAGAATGATCTCTGATGTTATGCGGTTTGTTGAAAGGAATTGTAGTATTTGAACCTTGGGAATTGCTCGGTAATCAACATATCATTGCGAGATGAGCTAAATGAAAATTTTTTGATTAATTTAGAGTGGTCATTTGAATTTGGATTTGTCATCCCCGGGTCTACCAACACATGGGAGAATATGATTGAAGCCGCCTCAGAACCTCAGATGTTACCTGCTTCGCTACTTAAGTAATTCATTTTTGTTTTTTCTACTTACTACTTTTTACAGCTCAGATGTGTGCAGCAAAAATTTTAACTATTTCTGCCTCTCATCAATTGTTTGCAGAGAACTGCAAAAAAACTGTTTGGTTAATGTAGTGATGACAATTTTTGCCACATTCTAATTGATTGTAAAAAATCTCTCATACTGTCTTTTCTTGTTTTTTCCTCCTTTGTTATAGTTACCATCAGATGAACGAAATCATGTTATTCAATACGTAGCAGAAAATGCGGCAGCAGCTGATGTTTTTCAGGATACATATGACTTTTCTAGACAAAAAAAAAATTTGTTTTTCAGATTTTATCCTATTATTTTTGTGTAAGTACTGTATTTTCAAATTATCAGTCGTTTTTTTTTTTTCAGTGGCAACGTTGTGGTTGAGACAAGTTTTTTCGACAGTGATATGCTCATAAATATTTCCAGAGTACGATTATTTTATGATTAAATTGCAGTGCACCGTATTGATCTGTAACTTGCTTAATCAAGGATAAACTTTGTAAATGAAGGTTATCAATGTTGCAGTATTATCTGAGAAAGTTTAAATGAATTACACAGCATAGGGAAGCAAAAAAAATTTCTTTTTAAAACATTTACTTGGCGTTGATTTTTGAAAGATCTGAAATATTATTTTACCGTGAAAAAAAACCGTAAAAATAGTAAACATACAGAAATAATTGTTGGGAAACACTAAGGCCAGTTAAAGAAAGCTTAATCAATGTTGAAGGACAGTTAAAACAACAAATCCAGAAACTTTTGAATGCATAGATGGAACTGAAACTCTATGAGCAGAATAAACGTGCAAGTTTTTGGAAGTAAAAAGAGATTGAAAAACTGAGGAAAAATTATTTCAATTTAGTTAATTTGAGCGTAATTTTTCTTGCACAGCTGCAAATGTAATGTTTAATGCCGAAAATAAAACTGGAAGACAAAATATTTCAATTATATAGCAGTTATGTTTAAAATATTTTGTAAAGAAATAGATTAGAATTGGAAAAAGTTGTAAAAACTGTCTATTGGTAAAGAATTAACGCAAAAAAAAAAAAAAAAGGAAAGAACAAAGATGACTGTAATTTACAGATGTGAAAAAATTATAGACATTTTAAACGCGGTTTTTATTTTTAAAAAAATTTTCTTTATGCACTTTTCTTTGCTTTCTATGAGTTGAATAATAAACTTTTTAAAAGAAAAAAAAAAGATAATTTGAACTAAAACAATACTGTAAATTAGTAAAGTATTAGGTTGGTAATTTATTATTGTACAATGAAGAAATCTTCTCTCAGTGACGCAGTTTTATAGTCGGTTTTAGTTGGTTGACATTACCGGTAACAGTCGAATAAATTAATGCTGCAGATAATTCACATTTTTCTTTTTGCGTATAACCACCATATTGAAATTTAAATAAACTTTAAATTATGATTGAAC